CTTTTTCTTGACGAACCCAAACCTCCGTCAACGTCTAGTATATATTTGTATCTCGCTTCTTCTCGATGAGTCTTAGTTTGCCTTAAGCCAAGCTCCAAGCTACTTTCAATTTCTTCATTTGTCAGATTGGGAGAGAGTTTAATCCAGGAAGTGATGCCTGCATCCAACAGATCTGGCTTTAAGATACTCAACTTTGCCAAAGGTATCCTGGGGCACAGATACCAGTTACTTTTGTGAAGCTGAAAGCAAGATGAAGATCCTCTAAAGACAGCTCTACTTTCTTTTATCTCCCATGCTAATTCACTATTTACATGACTTGTGTTAGAGTTTCCAAAAGCTTGATGTCCATTGACCGAATTTCCTTCAAATTCATCCCAAACATAATTCCCGTTGCTTCCGTATTCAACAGGGTCTGGAATTGGTATGTCAATATGAAGACTAGAAGTTCGAAATGAAAATATTGGAAATCCTGCTAAAGATCCCGAGCTGGAGTCAATGGTTATGCGCGGACCGTCTCCAACGTTTACGAAGAATTCTATAGGTTTATCATATTTTAACAATGTTCTTTGAGCTCTGGACATAGGCATTTCACTGTTTGGGTTCAAAAGGCTAGTTAAAAATTTTAATAACCATTCCATCCGTTGATTTCTGTAGGTTTGATACCAGTGTCCAGTTGCTCTATAGAACACTCGTCGTCTATGAAGTCTTACTCGGAACCCACCCATTCTGAGCAGAGGCTCTAAAAAGTCGAAGGCTTCTTCGTAAATCTTGACGTTGAACCCGAATGCTTCGTTGACCTTCCATGGTTTCAAATAGAGTTCAATGAGATACTCGAATTTCTTTGTTCTATTTAAGCCTTGTAATGTCTGGTAGCCTGTAATACACTGACTTTTCGAATTCTAGAATTTGCATAGTCCGCAATGTTAATGTAGTCGTCTAATAGAACTTGAAAAGTTTATTTATACCTTGTTTTGTATTTTACACAAGGTGAGAAAGTTCCATACTACTAAAATTGTCAAGAGTCCAACCAAACCGAAGAAAACCTTTTTTGGCATGCTTCTTGTTTATTTACAATAAAACAAAGACCGCAAGGTACATTCATTAAAAGGGAATTTTCAGAAGTTTGGCGCAATAGAAGCATTTTTCTAGGTTAGCACATCCATTCAATTTTGACCGTTCGTTCTCCTATAAAGAATGGAAACTCGGCTCTTTTCGTGAGATTACAATTGAACGATTGGTTGGGATTGGTGATAGCTTTGCAGAGAACACTTGGGATGACTGTCGCCTTTGTTGGTTCTACAAACTTCAGTGCAAACCTTTTTGGGTCTAAAAATAAGCATGGGTTCGTACTATTTGGACTTACTCATACGTGCTAACAGTCTCTTCAGGCTTCAATCAAAAAGCTTTTTAGGTGTTTCAGTTTCTTCTGAACACCCAATCTCTAGAGTCCAATTCACTCCTGCTGGAGGCAAATCTCGTATAGTGTGTCTTTCTTGGGGAGTTAAAGGAGGTGTTGAAAAGTTTGCAGACAGCTTGATCGAAACTGCTCGTTCCATAGCCTCACCTGGCAAGGGAATATTGGCAGTGGATGAATCTACAAAGACCATCGGAAAACGCTTGGCTTCTATTGGAGTTGAGAATACAGAGGAAAACCGTCAAGCATATCGGGAATTGTTGTTTACCTGTGAGGGACTGGGACAATATATTTCGGGCGCAATCCTTTTTGAAGAAACTTTATACCAGAACGCACGTAACGGCAAGTCATTTGTTGATTGTCTGAGAGGAGTGGGTGTCATTCCTGGTATCAAGGTAGATAAAGGATTATCACCGTTACCCGGTGGAGAAGCTATTGAAACTTGGTGTACTGGGCTTGATGGTCTGAGTGAACGAGCAGCTGCTTACTACAAACAAGGTGCCAGATTTGCCAAATGGCGAGCAGTGTTGCAGATATCTCCAGAAACACCCACTGAACTTTGTGTTCAAGAAAATGCTCGCGGTCTTGCTCGATATGCTAAAACTGTTCAGGAACAGGGTCTGGTTCCTATTATTGAGCCAGAAATTTTGATGGACGGTGACCACGATATAGAACGCACGGCTCAAGTGCAAGAACATGTTCTGGCAACCGTTTATAAGGAATGTGATAGTAATGGAGTTTTACTGGAAGGTTCTCTGCTGAAGCCCAATATGACCGTTCCAGGCGCGGATTGTAAACGACAAGTAAGTGCGGAAGACATTGCACGATATACAATCAGAACAATGGAACGTCGAGTTCCTTCTGCCGTACCTGGAATTATGTTCCTTTCCGGTGGTATGTCCGAAGAAGAAGCTTCGGTCTATCTCAACGTTATGAATAAGATACAACGTCGTGGACCTTGGAGTTTGTCGTTTTCATATGGTAGAGCTCTGCAACAATCCTGTTTAAAGAGTTGGAAGGGTAAGCAAGAAAATGTGAAGGCAGCTCAAGAAGCCTTACTTGCAAGAGCTCGAGCTAACTCAAAAGCTAATTTGGGGAAGTATGTTCCGGGTTCTGAGCCTACGTTAGATAAGACGGGAACCTTTGAGAAGGCTTATGTCTATTAATGGTTCCATTTGTCATGTATCGCTTTGTGATTGGAATAAAGCCTATTCAATTAGATTGAGTGCTCTTCGCATGAAGTGGCTTTCGTGGCACACACTCGGAGAAGTTGTGAAAGGTTGTTTTTGGTCCATACCTATCACCATAACCTTTTGTGACCTTATTGGAACTGTTGCCAAGGTAGAAGGCTACTCCATGTCACCCACAGTCAATCCAAAGTTAGTTATCGTGGTTTTGGTTGATTTTTATTGACAACAACTTTAGAGTTGGTACCAGAGTAGATTTGGTTTGGATTGATAGACTTTCTTTGTTACTGAAGGATATAAGACGAGGAGAAGTTGTTGTTCTTGCGTACGTAAACTGTTTTATTCCCAAGGAGAACAACTCATTGGATTACTTCTTTTAGATGTCCCTATAACAAAAATAAAAAGCTAATCAAGAGAGTTGTAGCTCTCGAAGGAGATCATATTTGGAGTAGAAAGGAAAGCCGATTAACATATATACCTCTTGGACACTGTTGGGTAGAAGGCGATGAACAAGACAAAAGTACCGATTCCAACCAATTAGGTCCCGTGAGTGGTTTCTTTTATCTACGCTATTAACCTTGAAGTGTAACTGAACGAGTATTTGATTGCAAATAGGTACCTCAAGCACTTATTGAAGGTCGAGTAAGTTTTATCATTTGGCCTTGGAGAAGATGGGGAAGAATACCACAACCATCTGAACACTCTTCCGAGAATAGACTTATTCCTAGTAAAGTATTGTAAAAACCCCAACGATGGAATTGGACTCTACAGAGCCTCCAAAAGATAAACTTGTAGGAGCGGAAGCTCCTTCTAGGGAAGAGAAAAAATTGGCGCGCCAACTGAAAGATCTTGTCAGAAAGGACGGCTATACTTCGCCTTTAGATGAATCCTTTTGTTCGTATTTCACATTAGTTCGCTATTTGCGTATGTTCGTATTTGTTGGACAAGTTCAGTTTTTTGACCTTTTTGTTATTTAGGTGCGAGGGACCACAACCTTCGATTGGCGAGAGACATGCTAATCGAAACTTTGCAGTGGAGAAGAGAAGTGCGTCCAGAACGTATGCTTTGTAACTTATGCTTACATAATCCACGAAGTCATACCTTTCGTCCTTTGGGAGTTGACAAAGTGGGTAGACCAGTAATGTACTCTTGTTTTGTCGGTCTGGAAGATCGGAATGCAGACAATAACGTCAAGCATCTTATATACTATTTGGAAACAATCTTCACAAACTCCTTTGCGGAGTCTTATATTTGGGTGTTGGATTTTGTTGGGTTTTCAGCGCAAGATCTCAATCCTACGGTTGGAAAGAAGTCTTTAAAACTTTTTAGTGACCATTATCCTGAACGCCTTTTTCTTGCTGTTGTGGTGGATGCGCCTTTAGTGTTTTCGTCACTTTGGTCGATACTAAAGCCATTTATTTCAAAGAATACTGCGAAGAAAATTGAGTTTCGCAAGGTCAAAACAGTTCGTCCTTTATTCGAAGAGCTCATGCCATCAGAATTGGTTGAGAAGTTTTTTCAGGAATTTGAAGAAAACCGGAATCCCGAGGTCGCTAAAACCAAGCAGTGGTGGAATTTACCACCTCTACCTCCACCAAGGTCTTGGAAGAATATGTCGTTGTCAAAAGAGCACATAGAGTTTTCTGGAAGTTAATGGGTGTGATGAGTTTTTCAAATGGATAACTTCAAGATCTACTTGACACTTTCTCTTCATAGAAGAATCAGACAAGTTCTGGTTTCAAGTTTTGGTTTAGAGAAGAAAGCTTTTATTATCAACAATGGAGACTTCGTATTTCTCCTATGGTCGAAAATTTCTTTATTGAGTTTCAGTTAACAATGCATGTCAATTCTATAGGTTTGCTTTTGTAGAAAGGGAGTCTTTTATAGTTTCTTTTTTTCGATTAGCATCTTTGTAGTATATTTTTTTCGATTATCGTGAGTCAGTCCATATCTCGTATTCAGTTTCTGTGAGTCATCCAAACCTCCATTCAGTTTCTGTTTGAATGAGTGAAAAAGGTTGTACGATATATTATCGCAGAGATATAGAATTTACATGCTCACACAAAGAAATAAAAAAAATTAGAAATTCGAGATTGTCCATTCCTTCTTTTAAAGGGCTGAAAAGTAGCATTTCCAATTCTATTTCATCAACCTCTAAATGCCTCTACAGAAACTATATTCATAACGCTATCAGAACAAAGAACGACGCTTCGCTTCCTGTTCCAGTTGTTCACGAAAGTCAGGGTGTGCTATATTGATAAGTGCCTTTGCTCTCTCCCGAATAGATTTGCCTTTCAACTCTGCAATTCCGTATTCAGTTACCTAAAGAAGACATTAGTCTATTTGAGAACTGCAGTTGATGCACTATTCAAATATTACTTACGACATAATGTGCATGCGCCCTAGTAGTTACTACACCTCCACCAGGTTTGATAATAGGAACTATTCTAGAATGGCGTCTTCCACCCGTACTGGGAAGGGCAATAATTGCCTTTCCATTCTCTGATAATGCTGCTCCTCTCATAAAATCCACTTGTCCTCCAAAACCACTATAGAATGATTCTCCAATACTATCACTACATATCTGACCAGTCAGATCCACTGCATCAACATAAATTGCTATTAGTGCCTTGTTGGACTTTCCATTTTTCATACCTTCTATAGCAGCATTCACTGCTACTACATTGTCATTTTTACCAATCACTCCAGGATCATTGGTAAAAGTAACATCTCGCATGCAAACCAAAGGATTGTTATCAACAAAGCGATAGAGACGAGAAGTGCCTAAAAGGAAACTAGAAATGATCTTCCCGGGTTCGATTTTCTTCAATTCGTTGGTCACGTTGCCATTTTCCACAAGTTCTATCAAACCATCACTAAACATTTCAGTATGAACACCCAAGTCTATTTCACATATTTATTCAACTCTGTATCAACAACAGCAACATGTAAAATATTCACCTTTATGATGTCTTAAATATTTCAATATTGCATCTGGTATAGCACCAATACCTGTCTGAAGGCAGGCTCCATCACGAATAAGATTTTCTGCAATCAGTTGACCAATTTTAGTACGGCAAGGATCTTCTTTAGGCACATTTAACTCCGGAAGTGGCTTTTCTTCATAAACCAAGTGATCCAGTTGTGAAATGTGAACAAGTGCATCACCAAGAGTACGTGGCATAAAGGGATTGACAACAGCTATTCGTTCTCTGGCAACCTCCAAGGCTGATAAAGTAATATCCACACTAACTCCAAGTGAAACATAACCAAAATTATCTGGTGGAGATACCTGAACAAAAGCAACATCTATAGGTATGATACGCCTCCTAAATAGATAAGGGACTTCCCCCAAAAATACTGGTGTATAGTCAGCTATTCCTTCGTTTACGTGTTTCCGACAGTTTCCACCAATGAATAAAGAGTTGGAAGTTATTTTTCCAGAAAAGTTTGGTGTAAATATGGGCAACTCTCCATCTATGAGAATATGATATAAACTGATTTGTTTTCTATCCGAGTTCTCAACAACTGATGAAAGAGCTTGTATTAAAGTCTGTGGAGCTGCTGCGACGCTTTGTATATATACATTGTCACCTGTACGAACAAAAGATACAGCTTCTTCTGGAGACATGTAATTGATTTCTTTTCCAGGTATTCTATATCGAAGTTGCCGTGGATATGGAAAAGAACGATTTGCATAGAATTTATTGGCGATATAGCCTTCGCCTTCCTTTGCTGGAAGAATGGGCGCCTGAGAAACTTGAGATAAGAAGCGACAGGCAGTTTTATATAGAAATTTCATAACATGGTCCAATTTCAAGTTATGTTGCATCTTATTCAACACAAATGTATTATTCCAAGACGAAGCCCTTGAAGAGAAATTTCCAAAGGAAGAAAATCTTAAGGATTTTTCTCGACCACTCGAATTCCATTCATTCCAGACACGATACAAATATCCGCCATATTTAAGAACAAACCATGTTCCACTACTCCCACAATCTCAATTAACTGTCTTGCAGCTAAAGAAATGTCTGGAATGGGCTTCTGGAAAAATAGGTCAATAATATAATTGTGATTGTCGGTTAGATAAACAGTATCTTTGTCTTCACGAATTTTAGCGGAAACTTGGCAACCTTGAAATGCTTCAACTTCTAATAAACGACGCATTGTTCGCTTCCAACAAAAAGGTGTAACCTCAACAGGCATAGCTCCCGTAATACCTAGACCTTTTACTAATTTCGACTCATCAACAATAATGACCAATTTCTTGGCCTCTACTTCAACCATTTTCTCTCTTAAGAGTGCACCACCTCTACCTTTCACAAGATTAAGTTGATCATCCACTTCATCGGCTCCATCAATGGCAACATCAAGAGAAGGATGGGTGTCCAACGTCACTAGAGGAATATCCCAGGTCTTTGCTTGATGCTCTGTTTTTGTAGAAGTTGGTATGGCCACAATATCCACAATTTCACCTTTTTTTATCTTTTGACCCAAACGTTCGACTGCATAATAAGCTGTTGAACCTGTACCCAAGCCCACAACCATCCCAGAGCGAATATGATCATCAACTGCCTTGTATCCTACAGCTTTCTTCAATTCTTCTGTAGAAATAACTTGCATCTGTATTGTTGTAGCCATATTATCTTCGGGTGCCTGAGATCGTCTCTTCAACCCAAAGAGTCTCGCTTGAGAATACTTTGGCAAGAAATAAACACGTTCGGAACAAGTTTTTGGTAGAAAGGATAAATGAGACAACTTGTCTTTGAAACAGCAAGAGAGTGTAGGATTTCGTTTATCGCTCTTGCCATAACTGTGAGAGTAGAAAGCAAAACCAGATATCCTTCTTGGACAGCTTTTCATTAACATTAAATTCACCAAACGATGCTCTTCCATTTCTTTTATTATTCACACTTAATGTTCTTGTGTCCATTGAATACTCTTCAAGTCTATTCCTTCTTGAACCATCTCCCACAAAGGACTCATATCTCTTAGTCGAGCAACATGTCTCTTAGCCAACTCAACAGTAAAATCTACTTCCTTTGCAGTAGTAAATCTACCCAGACCAAAGCGTATACTTGTGTGTGCCATATCTTCATCTACACCTAATGCACGAAGTACATAAGAAGGTTCCAATGAGGCTGATGTACAGGCACTGCCACTACTCACAGCTACTTTTTTCAAAGCCATTAACAAGGACTCCCCTTCTACATATGCAAAGGAAAAATTGACATTTCCAGGATATCGATGAACTTCGGAACTACAAACGAATATTCATCCATTGTTCAACTATGAACTTTTAAGCTTACCCATTCAATACCACGTGAGGTATGGATGAACGAATCTGTCGTATCAGGCGTTCACTTAACTGTGATACATGTTGATAATCTCTTTCCATTTCCTCCATACAAACTTCACATGCAGCACCCATTCCTACTACAAGTGGAGCCGGAAGAGTTCCACTCCGTAAGCCTCGTTCTTGGCCTCCACCATTAATTATTGGCTCTAAACGAACACGAGGTTTTCTTCGCACATATAAAGCTCCTATACCTTTTGGTCCATAAATCTTATGTCCAGATATTGACATAAGATCAATATGCATCTTTTCAACATCTAAAGGAATCTTTCCTACTGCTTGAGCAGCATCCGTATGAAAGAAAACCTTGCGTTCTCGACAAATCTTCCCAATCTCTTCTACTGGTTGAATGACTCCAATTTCGTTATTTACCATCATAACGGACACTAAAACGGTATCTGGACGAATAGCATTCTTCACATCTTCTAGACTAACTAGGCCTTCCTTATTTACTGGCAAATAAGTAACTTCAAAGCCATTTTGTTGTAAATGCCTGCAAGAATCCAAGACACATTTATGCTCCGTTTGTGTAGTAATAATATGACGCTTTCTTTCTTTGTAAAAGTTTGCTACCCCTTTGATTGCAGCGTTATTGCTTTCGGTAGCTCCAGAGGTGAAAATAATTTCCTTTGCGTCGGCACCAATAAGTGCAGCTACGTTAGCTCTAGACTTTTCGACTGCTTCCTCTGTTGCCCAGCCATAGGCGTGTGTTCTTGAGTGTGGATTGCCATACTGTGACACATAATAGGGTAACATAGCATCCAATACTCGAGGGTCCACTGGAGTTGTTGACTGAGCGTCAAGATAAATAGGCCTTCCCAACACTGTTCTTTCGGTCACATCCAGAGCATATCCTTTGTTCGAATAAGAAGTTGTAATCTGTTGCAACGCAGCAGCTGTAGTTGCTTCTTCACTGGAAAGCTGTGGTTTCTGGTCTTGACTATTATTCTCTTTGGCCACACCTTGCGTACAGAAAGTAAATTTCTGCTGTTTCTTAGCTTTTTCTGAAGAGAATTTTGCAACTGAATAAAAAGCAAACCTTGAAAACTTGGTCGGTTTCCTAAGAACAATACTCATTTCCTACAATCTATTCAAGAATATTCTTCGAATGTGTGTGATTGATGTTGGCATTTTCTGCTTGGACTGTATACTTTGACCAGGTTCGACACAGCCTTAAGAAAATATCAAATAGTTGCTCTAGATGTAAACGGAAACGATATATTTATTTAAAGAGACAACAATTTCCGTCAATACGTTACTACTCTTTGGCTGAAATATCCGAACATTCCAACAAGAATGGAAAACAAAGCTGGATAGAGGGACTTTGTAGTTCTGAGTTTTGTTCACTTTGTGAAGCCCAGTTTAGAATTCTAGAAGATTCCTTAGGAATTGATAATTTTGTTTTATTTTTCCGAAAAGAAAATGAGCTTTCTGGGACCTTGGAGTTTATACCTGTGTGTAGCTTTCCTGGTGTAAGCTCTGTCTGGGTTGTAGAGGAGGATCAAGGATCTTTGCCTTTTATTTTACGACAACCGCCTCCCTTACCTGGTGGAATGGAACCTTCCTATTTGTTACCTAGTTATCCTTTTGTTTCATTTCGAGAAGGAATCATTTATCATTTGGAAGAAGGCTATATCACCATTCCCATTCATTATGATAGAATAGTTGTGGGATTATTATTAATAGGAAAAAAAGGAAAACATATTTGGACAAGAGAAGAAGAGTTGCAAATTCTTCAGTCGGCAAAGACTGTTGCCATTGCGTGTACATTGAACTTGAGGTGGCAAATGAGTTCTACAACAACAGTTCAGTTATCAAAGATACAAAAGTTGTTTTCGAATCTATTGCATCAAGCACAAAGTCCTTTGATGGCAATCAAAACATTTGCAAAGTTACTCTTGAAACGACTTCCAAGTGAAGATATCAATAAGGAATTGGTCCAAAATATACTATTTCAGGCGGATAGACTACAAGAATTGCTTTCACCATTGCAGCACATGAACGAAAGATTGTTGAGTCATATAAAGTCAGATACAATATCTTCAAGTATTCCCATTCAGCTGGAGGCTTCTAAGGAAAGTAGAGAAGCAGAAAATTTGTCCAGTCAAAAGAGTATCAGCTTGCATCTGTGTTGGCTAAAAGACGTTATTCAACCAGTGTTATCAAGTGTTCGATGTTTTGCTCGTGAAAAGGGGATTCGATTTTCCTCCAAAATAGAGCGAGACATGCCACCTTGTTTAGTAGATGAACGAATGCTCAGAGAAGTTGTTTTAAACATTTGTGAGAATGCCATTAAATTTACTCCAACTGGTGGTGTTATAAGAGTAGATTGTTATTGGGTACGGACTAGATGAACCTTTTTTATTGTTGTTTATCATGTTTGATGTTCAACTTATAGGATAGTAAGAACAGTTGTGTTTCGATTGATATTTGTGATACAGGTTTGGGAATTCCTCAGGTGGAGCTTTCTAAAGTTTTTGATAGAGGATATAGAGCAAGTAACGTAGTTTTCAATACAGCTACTCCAGGAAATGGCATTGGTCTATCGATTGCTTTCGAAATGGTGCAAAAAATGCGAGGAAACCTCTCCATTACTTCTCCAGGAAAACTACACAAGCTACCAAGAAAAGGAAACAAGGGATTACCAGGTTGTTGTGTGCATCTTTCATTTCCTAGAGCCTCCAGTCCTCAACTTTGAGCCAAAGTGATTGTCTATCTTGTTCATGAGGCAATTAAGATTTATAAGGTTTTCTATCATTCACTTGTGAACTTTTTAAAAGTTTTCTTATTCTTGTCTCCCTTTCGATTGACTAATGCTTTTTTGCAGAGACGAGCTAGCTTTAAAAGTATTCGTGCATTGATAATCTTTATCACAAATTCAGTGTCATCCTTGAACTTTGCCTTTCCAACTTACTATTTCTCTCGCAGTTATCAAATCATCACGAACCACTTTATCCATATTGTCATAAGCAATAACAAGTTCCTATTTACAATAAGAAGAACAATCATTCTTTCTGGATACAATAAAAAGATATTCGGTTACCTGTAAACGTCGAAACAGATAAACCTTGTCATGTTCGCGAATCCTCTTTAGAGATTCATCGTTAACATGCCATAGTTCTCCCGCTTTAGAAGGATGATATTCTACTTCTATAATTGACTTTTTAATGATGGCATGAGCAACTTTGAATAAGTGGTTAGGATCGTTTTTCAAAGAAGAATGATAAGCTTCCAATTTGGACACCATCTTTGAAATATTTACCATTCCTTGTTGATCCAAAGTTATAACCTATAGAAATAAAAAAAGCAGTCCTAATGACTCCCCAAATAAAACATAAAAATAGGCCAAGTACATACTTCTCCTTTTATAATAACCATGGCATCATCCAAAGCATTCTGTAAAGAGCAAGTCCATTCAGAATATTCCTTATTCTCCAATTCTTGCAACAATTCTTCCATAGACAAGGCTGCTCTATCCAATTTCTTTTGCAATTCTTCATTTTCATGCTGCAGTTTGTCTTGAAGAACTCTCATCTGTTCACAACAATCACAGTTTATCGCATTTTTGTCCTCCAAAGATAGAGAAGAAACACGGTTCACAAGGGTGTCCAATTTGTACGAACAACTTTCATCACATTCGGAAGATTCCTATGATTCCAAATTTTATACAAACGATGACTTAATCTTATAAGACTTCCTACCTCATTGGACTCAGTATTGTCTTTGCCATTTCTCCTTGTTAGCTCACTATTTCTGGTATTTTCATTTTCTGTTTGTAAAAATTCAGTTGCCTGTTTCAAATTCTCTGCTTTATCTAGTTTCCATTGCAGTTGCTTCATTTCTTCACACATGGACTCTAAACGCGTTTGAATACTCTCATAATTATGCTCGAAATGCCGTCTCCATTCTCTATAGTCTCGTAATTCTTTTTTCGCTCTTGACAAGTGTTGTAACGCTTCATCTCGTGACTGCTCGAGCAATATAAAATCATTCTGAAGCCATTTGTATTCTGTCTCACTAGTACGCAGTTTGTTACGCAAGTTTTCTGTTTCCAACTGTAGCGTTTGAATCTGTACCAAAGCATGATCCTTTTCTAAGGTTTCCTTTTGTAAAGTTTCATTCTGAGTTTTTAGTTGCTGTTCCAATTGTTGTAGTCTATATTCAGTTTGCTTCCTTTTGCAAGTCTCTGACTCGTAGTTTTCACGCAAACTTTGTTCTTCTGCACGAGACTCTTCTAGTTGCTCCTCCAACTGATACATTTTGGAGTGACAACGATTCGACTCTTTTCGTAGTCGTATGGTTTCTTCTTCAAGTTCGTGTATTGTGCAAGTCCATATCGAACACAATTCCTCACTCTTGTTGACAAGTTCTTGTAAAGAGCAACCAGAGTTCCAAGTTTCAATAACATAATGTTTTAAACTTTCTATATTACGTAACAATGTAGATATGTTGCACGAAAGTTCTCGTTTCCATCTATCTTGATTCATAGCCAAAAAGCTAGTAAAATAGATTGATTTTGAGCCACGTCAAAATGAAAGTGTGCCAAAGGACATCGAAGGGAGATCAACAGTGATCAACTGTTTATTGGATAAGAAGTATCGTGTTGAGAAACTTATCATATGTTATTGTTATGAAAGTACCTTTCCAGCTTTTGCATTGAACAGTTTCTTGGGCTCTGAGAAAGAATAACTCTCCTTCAAAAGTAACACTTGTGCTCTAGTAGTGAAGATACAGAGACCCACCGGAGGAGATCTCAAATATGTTATTGGAGACTTCTGTGTTCAATGCTTGTACAGGATAGCCTTGCAGAAAGTTGTCGTGCAAGTATTTTTACCTTTCAAGTTAGATTTTGAGTTGAGAGTTCCAATAACCAGGCTTTGAACGTTTTGTTTCAACACAGAAGATCTCTTAGTCGTAAATATCATTAGAGTGCAAACTTTTGATCTGCTAAGAATTGGTGGTGTTTGATATTTCATCCAACGTTACTTTTGGTTAGATCTTGGTCGTATGGAACAAAGATTCCTGAACGGTAGTCTCTCTTTACTTGTTTTCAAAGAATGAGATATTCTCTATCTTTTGAAAGTTACTAGTGAAAGTATATACAAATGAACAAACAAAGCCCGTAAATAGTTTGAGCTTCCATGGATGAAATGTCGTTCTTGTCCAAGTTAAGAGGCCTTCCACCCAAAGTCCATATATTATTGACTGTATGTACTTTTGGAGGTAGTATTGCCGGTATAGACACTGCTCTTGTTAGTGGAGCACAACTTTTCTTTGTAAAAAGGTTTCATTTGGACACCTCTTTGCAAGGTCTTACGGTTGCTGCTACTCTTTTGGGAGCTTTGGTTGGTGCTCTTCTGTAGGTCTTCGTTATTCCAGTCGGAGAAACTCTTATTTATCTTATTTAGGTCTAATAAATTGAACAAGTTGGTGGGTAGGAAAGGCGCCATGTTTCTGGCAGGTATGGATGCCATAGCTGCTGGTATAACAGAGTCTTGTACGGACATATGGGAGGTTCTTCTGATAGGTCGGCTGTTTCTTGGCATTTGTTTTGGAATTATGACCAGCACTATTCCAATGTTTCTTTCGGAATGTGCACCAAAACATGTTCGTGGAATGTTCACAACAGTATATCAACTGGCCTATGCCATTGGATACTTTATTGGCCTTATTGTGGATACTATATTTGTACATGTGGAACATGGTTGGCACTTTATGTTAGGTTCAGTCACAGTGCCTTCTCTAGTTGTTGTTTGTTGCCTTTTCTTTGCATCTGAGTCTCCGAGATGGTTATTCATGAAAGGTCGTCAGGAAGATGCGTGGAGTTCCTTATTGACACTTCGTTCTTCTCAAGGAGCGGCGTTGGAAGAGTATTATGAAATACGAGAATGGATGCAAAGGGAACAAGAGGATACTAATTCTATCTGTGGTTTTTTTTGTCTATTATATCGACAACCTCATATCCGTCGTCCTATTCTTTTAGGCATTGCATTGCAATTTGCTCAACAATTCTGTGGTGTCAATGCTGTTATGTTTTATTTTGAATACGTATTACAGTTTGCAGGACTATCTGATTCTCACAGTATTGATGTGAGTCTAGCACTGGGTTTTGCTGCTGTTGTATTCACATTTCCAGCCTTTTGGCTTGTGGATAGATTGGGAAGGAGATTTCTTCTACTGACTACTATGCCATTTGTCTCTCTCATGTTGTGGTTGTGCGGGTTTTCTTTCTTTGGAGGTTACAAGGTTCGACTAGTATTGAACATTACTGGAACATTGCTTTTTCGTTTATTTTATGGACCTGGTCTTGGTCCTGTTCCTTGGATTATAGTGGCAGAAATCTATCCTTGGTATGTCCGGTCTCCTTGTCTCACTTTGAATTCCTTCTTTTGTTATTTGTTCAATTTTACAGTTTCCTTTTCTTGGCCTACGATGCTCAAGTCGATGCATGCCCAAGGTGCTTTTAGTTTCTTTGCAAGCTGTACATTATTGTCAACTATGTTCATTTATCTATTTGTTCCTGAGACAAAAGGTTTACAGCTCGATTCTATTGAAAGGCTTTTTGAACAATCCTTTTATATGATAGCGAAAGAAAATGTAAGGAATACCAAAGAGCGTATGAAAAAGTGGAATATCTGTGGTTTGAATCATTTTTGTAACAGCAAGTGTAATAATTGCACCAAGCAACCATCGAAAACAGAAACAAATATAGAATGAGTATCCTGTGATGATTCGTCGTCATTGGATTCAAGAAGAAGAGTATAACCGAGGATAGTGTAATCCAAATATATTATTATTTGGGGATATGTACAGAAAATATATTCACACAATGTATACAGAGAGAGTGAGTTGATAAGTAGTGGTCAATGAGCAACATTGTGATCATCATTCTGGTGGTAAACTATTTTGAATATGATCAATCATTCATGTTATATTTCATGGACATAGGAATGTTATGTGCGAATCTCAACTATTGGTTCCGAATGCATTCTTTTGAAACATAGTTTCCAACTCTCTCTCATTGTGTATAGAATATTGGTCAAATTTGATTGGATTTTCTAAAACATGCAAAATGTATTGAGAAACTTCATCATATGAAACTAATGGGTGTTAATGACTACAGCGTCAGAAGATATTGATTGAATTCTGTTGGACCATATATTCCTTTCATGGAGATGTCGAAAATAGGCTATCGCTCAACCGCTATTGCTATTTGTTGAATTCAATAATAAGAAAAATTATATCGACTCAAGCTAGCAACTTACCTTTAGACTAGCTTATAAAATATTAAATTATAGTTATTGAGAGGCATATCCATCTTTCTAAAAAATGTAACCGAAACAATGTGAAGTATTTCTTCACACAAATACGATAAAGAAGGTGTTGATTATCCTTTCAGTTGAAAGCATCTCTAAAGCCGAACTGTCATAATGCATTGATAAAACAGAGAGAGATATTCAAGTCATTATTCTATTATGTACATTTTTAAGAGTGACATATCGAATATTACGTACAATTTCCACCTGCATTGTAAATGAACAAAAATTTCCTGCTGCCTGAATACCTAGACAGCACTACGAAGCAGACCAACAGCTTCTTATCTGATCTAGTAACAAGTATAAAGGATCCGCAATAAAACAGCTTCATATTAAATATTCATGTGAATGAGAACCATTTTCAAAAGAAATTGCATTTCTTTGTCCATTGTTGGAATCAAGTCGGGCACAACGGCTCTTCCATTGTAACACAAGTGTTCGTAAGAGTTTCAAAAATTCTTTTTCATTTCTGCCAGAAACAGTGGTTATCTATCACTTGGTCATCAAAAAGTCCAATTTTGGTTTCAATTCTATTCCATCAAGGAGTTATAACTTACTTGGAATTGCCATTGTGACAGATTGATTGCAAGCTACATCATATGAATTCCTACTCCAACTAGAAAAAAAATGAGAGAAAGAAAGTCATCTAATTGGTTCTCATCGAATAAATCTTTTGATTTATCAGAAAGTAAAGGGCATGGAACATTTCAGATAAGAACCATATTTCTCCTGATATGGGCATTAAAATGTTTTGGGTATTATTGTTTTCTTTTGGCAACTTCATAGTGCAATGAAGTACATTATGGCAAGGCTTAGATCAAGTTGGTAATCTCTAAACAAGACTTGAATTATTTCATACTGAAAAAGCTCATTTTTTAACCTGCTGACAGATGATGAGAGCTAAGAAGTATGATGTCTTTCTTGTCAATCGAGGGTTAAGAATGCAGTTTATAGAGCAGAACACAAGCAAAGACGTGTGAGAATTACGGTGGATCATTAATCACTGGACACACAAGAAATTGAGGTAGGTGTTATCTCTGCTTCTTCTGAATCCTTCTTTCTTCAAAATTTTAAAGTGAAATTTGTATGATCTTAACGGAAGTAATGGACACGGTATTTTTGTCTACAGTGGAAGAAATGAAAATGAACCCACTGTAGTTTGACAGCCACCGCAATGAATACAGAACTGAAGAAAGCATAGAGAAAAAGGCATCGTTCAAGTTCAAATGAAAAGAATTGTCGGTTTTCGACAGTACTTTTCTCATTCGTTACTGTATTCTCTTTCGATTATTGACCAAGTCCTTCGTATTCTGCAACTTCAGATGGTCAATGGTACCATTCATATCCTAGAAGGGTAAAATGTGCCCACCATGACTCCAATGGTAATTGATGGACTAGTCTACTAAGTTTATTTCATGCTCTCCATATTTGTGTGATGTTTTTAAAGTTATCATTGCTCGGTCGAACAATAACAACACACAATTAATGTAAATGAATGTGACATTTTTCAATGCAACCTAAAAGCGCCATTTGCATTTTGCAATTGCATTGACTGCTGCAATTTCAGATCGTTTCAATGATGCTTGCTCCAGTATCATGAATCTTTGAAAGTCGCGGTTGCTGGCCCCTTATCTCAATAATATAGAGAATATCTTATTCTTTCAATGAAATTCAAGGACAAATTATCTTCTTTAGACTATATAGAAGACCGTTTTGGAGAACTTTTAAAAAAAAAAGACTGTGGAAGAAAATATATCAATGGCTTTGGTGAATAAACTAAGAAATAAGGAATCGATGCAGAGCAGCAATTATATTGATATCTTTATCAAACATCTTTGTGAAACAAAGTTGATTTCTTTTGAATGATAGTATATCAGAAGGTTGCTAATCGAATAGGCTATTTGTTCGACTTTTTAGAACAGCAAGAGTTTTCATCTAGACTGTCGGCTTAATGTACTTTTCCTTGTCAAGAATTCTATGATATATATTATGTCAATAAGACTTGGATTTCATTTCATATTCACCCTAAAACTTCTGCTAGAAATGAGATAAATAGGACCATCAAAACTAGCAGTTTGTCGAAATTCCTATAGATACACGGCCAACCTTGTATAGGGTCATTTTTCCTGAATCAAAAGCACAACTATATCTACAAAAAATTAAAAAAGATGATATAATTGGGATTGTATCCAACAACTTGCCTCCTTTTTAGTTCGCTATAGTATTCACTGATGCTACTTATTCGTTGGGTTTCGTCAATCATCAAAATATTTCTTGCATTTGAACCGGGTAATCAATCATGAGAGCTATAGTTTATATCAAGGCATCGAGAAAAAGAGAATACAGAGCCTTTGTAAAAGAGTTGCCTACTTTTAAGATAACTGACAAAATGTATCCTGCAACATGCTTCAAACAATTTTCCGAAAACCTCCATTATGGCTGTAATAAGAACCATTCTGAATGCTTACAAGTGGCGAGAAGAATCAAAAGAACCTTTTCTAAAAAGGTTTCTCGTAAATTTGAGGAACGAAGCAACCTCTAGGTGACTTAACCTAGTTTAACACAAACTTCCAAGAAAAATTTTTATGGTGTTAGTCTACTACCTCGTTATCCGTCAACTTGTGGTTCTTTCAAATCTAACACAGTCAAAGACTCGATCTCTTCTAAACCCTATTGAAGTAAGTTTTAACCAACAATATTTTCAGAAGTAGTGTTTTGATGCTCTACGAAAACGCTGGGTCTCTGGTTGTGAAGTTTTGGTTTGAAAACTTTTAAACTCTTTTAAGAATGGCAAGCTTAGAGTTGGAAAGCAACTTCCTAGAGCTTCAGTTTTGTTCTTATATCTTTCCTTGACAGATTTATTTCTTTCATAAGTTTCCACTGTTCAGATATAACTGTTGTAAGGATATTTCATTTGTTGAAGTTGTTTATTGGGCTTTTATTGCGTTTATAATAATACACTCAAGAGTCTCTGACAAAGACTGATGAAGCAATCCAATGTAAAACTAGTTTTGAAAAGTCGAATTATTTTAGAAACTCTATATGGTTGGTTGACAGCTGCTGTCAAATATTCAATAGACATTCCGATAAAAGAAAAAATGTGAGATTATCAAGAAATTGGCACAACAAATGAAGCTATCCTTAACGTCTTTCGAATATGGATTATCCCATGAATTGAAAGATTTACTCAAACTTGAGAAATTATCTTTTCCAACGTTTTTGATTAGAAAGCTTTTAGAAAAAAATTATCAATCCACTGTTGCGAGGACTAACTTGGTCTCCAATGCATCAGCCACAAGGCAACATTTATCGTGTACAATACAGTGCGATGTAGGATGACTAATGAACAATATTTCATGAACTAGACATTTTATCTAACCAATAGACTCTTTTCGAGGCTGACGAGATGGTCTCTGAAACGACGTTCATGTGAGACGTAACCAAGTTTGAAACATATACGAAAGGTGTACATGCTTTGCAAATGAAACAAGGAAAGATTGAGTTGAAAATCAAAAGTTTAGTGTCATTTCAAAAAACTATGACAGAATCTATCAAGTAAACCAAAAGTTTTTAAAGATGGTATTACAGAAGCAGCAAATGCATTTTCATTCCACCCTATACTTTGTCATTCTAAATCTCTTTCACGAAGAGTAACAAGCATCTAGGAGGTACTCTGTATGAAATTCGATAGCCATAAACAGTCCCAAAAATGCTTTCCTCACCTTCAAACTGGATAGCATACTATTCATGGTAACATTCCTTTCACGCAAATACTGCATAAGTATTTCGTTGCTATTTGCGACACTAGACCACTCGTTTGAGCGCTTACTGAATTCCTGATATTATCAAAAGTTTCAAGGATATTTAGCACTCCCTTTTTCCAACTATGAGAAGTCGTTTATATAACACACTGAACGAAGTATCCAGGGAACTATCAAGTCCACTTGAATTCAATAAAGACTAGTGCTTGTCAATACATTCTTCGTTGTACTGAAGAGTAACAGTAATCACTGTTTCCAGTACAACTCAGTCGAATGAAACAATAGGAGAATATGCAAGTGCTTTTAAAAGAAGTATTCAAAGCATACAAGAATATTTTCTCAACAGGCTCCTATAAAGGAAATAAATTCAACGTCAAGTTCACTTATGGCAATTTGAAGTTCAGGTGTGGAACTAAACAGTCACCTGGTTCCGGTTTCAACAGACACGCCCTTAACCAGCTGCGAAATCAACATACCACAACCGTTTAATTCTTACAGTAAGTCTTTTGGTCTTGAAAACTTTACTGGACGAATCTGTTTCTTTGGCTGACTTATGCACGCTTCCGATCTTCTTCAGTGATCCGTTCGAATAAGAACTTTTTTCAACAACAATTCTATTGTTGTGCCAAAGCAAGGAACACTTTTTTCCTCTGTTGAAAAAGACCATTCAGCATTTGAAGCAACCACCAGTAAATTCAAACAACAATTCTGCAAGTTCACTAGTTGAGAAGTCTTCGTGGCAAAGAATTTCTGAAACCTTCGGGCTTTAAGTGAATAAAAAGGAGGTATCAAGCGGCGAAAGGGGAATAAACACTAACTGAACCCTTGAGACTGAAGCTTCGTAATTATATATATTTAAGCCTTCACTTTTCCCGACAACAAGAAAAAACAAGTCGGGTTCTTTACAAATAATACCGAAAAAGTCGCTGTATGGTCGAACTCTACCGTCATTGGTTCTCTTGAAATGAAATTCGTCGAGACTTTCGTCTAGAACACCAACTTCATCAAATGCTACCAACAGATATTGATCGGAAGGAGTGTCCAAAGTCTTCCGTAGCTCCGGAGTTAGAAACTTTGGATATGGGAGGAATGTGTCTGTAGGTTTCATCAGGCTTCATAAACGGTAGACCCATCTGATCCTAAGCCGATTGGTACAATAAAAAGCACAAGGCCCACTTCAGGTTTCATTTTCCCCGATGGGTCGATTAGGCTCCAACTTCCTTAGATCAGCATGAAGCAACGAAGAGTTTCTGAGCTTCTCCAAAAACCCGTTCGATTGGTCTTCTCAGACTCACCAACGTGATATAGACCTATAAGTGCACTTTCACCCGTGTTATTCAACAGTTTCAAGTAACTTTGTACAAAACTTGTCTTTCTTCCGAAGAGGTGAGGGCCAAAAGGTATGACTGGTTTGAAAGGGCGACCAAGTTTACGAAGTTGTATAGCCTAAATAACTGCTTTGTTACTACACGAACATCTTGTTCTCAGTCTACTACAACCATGTCATACACGCTTTCTGCGTCAAGCTCACTAGACATATCGTAAGCTGTGAAGTAAAGGCCAGTACAATACAACAATGATCGATCAATCTTCTTTAATAGTCCAATGCTCTAAACTCTTGATTGCGACGAAAGTCTTTTGAAGCTTAGGACAAGTCTTGATAAGAACATGATTTGCCTTTTAGATAAAGACTATCTTTTTCATTTTTTTGTAATAAAGAGTAGATATTGGTTTGTGTGCAATTGTGTATAAAAACAACTTCTCTGAGCTATTAGAAAATAGTCCAGCTGAGGAACTTTCAACTTAAGGCGAACCATAAATAAAGTCTTTGACGAATACAAGACCTTGTATAAAACCCAATCGTCAACACTTTAAGACACTCTCCTGAGTAGTAACAAGAAGCAAATATGACCTGTCAAACTGTGACAGTGACTTTTACAACAATAGGCTTATTTTGATTTTCGTGGTTAGTACCATATTAAGACAATAGTCCTCGGAGTGAAAGCAAATAAGTTGTAACCGAGTTTCAAACATACAAAAAATTTTACTTGCTCTTCAAAACAAAGGGAAGGACTGAGTTAGAATCTATTGCCAACTTAAGAAACTGTTACGGATTCTATCGAGTAAATCTAATCCAAAATCCCAGAAAGTAGGATTATGAGAGACATGAAATGCTCTTTCAAGTCCATTCAATATTTCTTCGTCAATCAGCATTTGGACATCTCTTTCACAAAGAATAACAAGTTCACAATTATCAGGTACTTTGAAAGAATCACCTCTAATAAACATTCCACTGGAGTAACAACGACTCTGATTACCCAACTCATTAGAAACATTCAATGATAACTTTGTACTAACGATAATAAGCATACAATGATGATAATCCATTGCACTGGATAAGACTTGATCATATACAGGATCTAAAAATTTCTTGGCTTCATCTATAATATCTGACCAGCCAATTCCTTCCGACTTCCAACGTCCTTTACATGCAACTCCAACAGTAAGAACTTTGGGTTCCACAGGAGATTGTAATTTGAATATAATATCAGGACTATGAGAAGTAGCGTCCAAAGGAATGTAAATAGTCTCTAAATAAAGTGTCTCTCGAATAATCTTATTCCATTCAGTATTGGCAAAAGTTCTTCGACTCTTGTTCGATTCATTTCTTGTTTCTATAGAACTAACAACAGACTTCATATAGTGAATAGGTGATATTGTGCTGATTGGAAGTTTCATTTGTTTCCATATCGGAGACAATTGACACAACAATTCCCTCAACTCATTTCGATTCTTTGAAGACAACATCAAAACTAGTCGTAAAGCAACAATTCCTTCAAATACACGACACTTTGAATAGAAGAAACAATCTACTGGTTCTACATCAAGTGATTCGAGAAGTATCTTTTCCAAAGAAGATATGGAAGGGTCGTTCTTGAAGATTCCAACAAATACTTTTGGAATTAGGACTTGAAAAGTATTCTGGTCAATAGGATATCGATATAGTCCCATTTCTGTTACTGCATCATATAAAAAGGACTCCGAGGTCAATATGTCATCTACTTGAAATGGTATACGATAAAGTGCCATCATCAATAGTATATCAAAAACACTTTTTCTATCTTCGTCCAAATTCAATATTCGTTCCACAAATGGTTCAGCACAAATTCTTCGGAAATCGTAGTCATTCATACAAGTCAAACATTCTTCTTTCGATATGAAAGGCTGGTTTCTTGGTATTATATAATTCAAAAGCATATTTACTGCACGAGTCAACAAACCAGGAACTCCACCTGTACATTCCAATAATGAGTCTGCCAATTCATTTACTGAAAATGAAGAACTACATAAGACATTACAAACCGGAACTTGAGTAGGTGTCTTTAGAAGACTCTTTTCAAGGAATTCAACGATACTGGAAGCGTCCAAAGGTGATAAAGAAATAAAATGTAGTATGACTTTTGATACAGAAGAGACATAATTCTTAATACTTAAACCCTTGCTTTTCCCAACAACTATAAAAAACAAGTCGGGTTCTTTGCACAATTGACTAATGATACCGAAAAAGTCATTGTAAGGTCGAACCACACCTTTGTCATTCTTCTCCAGTTCAAACAAAGTTGCCTTTGTATCAAACACACCAACTTCGTCAATTGCCAACAAAAGATATTGATCGGAAGGAATGCCCAAAGTCTTCCGTAGCTCTGCAATTAGAAAGCTTGGATAGGGAGGAATGTGTCTGTAGGCTTCATCAGGCTTCATAAACGGTAGACCCATCTGATTACAAGCTGATCGGTACAATAAATAGTAGACTGCCCACTTCAGGTTTCGAAAAAACTCTATGGGGACTGTGGGCTCCAACTCCTTCAAATCCACATAAAGCAATGAAGCCTTCTTCAAATTCTCCAAAAAGGCTCTCCTCGAAGGGTCCGAAGCAAATTTCGACAGAAAAGTTTCACCAAACCTTTGCACCAACTCCAAATAGGTTCGGGCAAAGGTCGTTTTGCCCGAGCCAAAGAGATGGGGGGCAAATGGTATGGTCAAGCGATAGTTGCAACTACTTGTTACACCCCTGAGTTGTTCTCTGTTGCTATGAAGATCATACAGTTCTTCTGTCACTCGAAAAACATCTCTTTCACGATCTACCACAACAGACTTAAACTTGTCCACAGCTTTCCACTTTTCATCCAAACTCGCCATCGCCAAAGAGAAATTAAACAATCTTTTGTTTATTTCGGAGTACAAATATAAATAAACGATTGACTGTTTGTCGGTCACAACAACAACAAGGAAAACAGTAAAGGATACCAATCCAACTTCTTCTCTTTATCAACTGATGACTATGTCATACCTTTTATGGCTTGAGACGGAGATGACTTGAACTATGGAAGAACGATCAATATGCTTTAACG